TGGACACATGGCATTATACATTTGTCCAAATCCATAGAATGTACAACACCAAGAGTGACCCCGCATGTAAACTATGGACTTTGGGAGATAATGATATGTCGGTGTAGGTTAATCAATTGTAACTCTGGTGAGAGATGTTGATAATAGGGGGTGGGGGGAGTATGCCTATGTGGAAGCAGGGTCTATATGGGAAATCTCTTATGTTCCTCTTATACTGTGAACCTAAAACTGCTCTAAAAAATGTCTTTAAAAAATAAAGGAAAAAGGAGACTAGCTCTGATATTGACTTATCTAAGTATCAGTAACATAAAACTTTTAATACTTCACAGGGTTTTTATCCTCTAACAGGAAAAACTACATGAAAACACATTGAAATCTACAGTTTAATATAATCAGTCCTCAGTATAATGAATGTAAATTAGAAAAAGTACATCATTTAAAGTGTGCTTAGGACATTTTATTTGCATACAATTTTACAGATTTATTTATCCCCATTATTAAAATAAGCATCATAATTCACTGCAATATAAGATTATATTTTTGAAAAGACATTTAAATCTCAAGTTAAGAAAATTCCAAATAATTTGGTTTAAAGACTTGGGCATATGGTTTGAAATAAATGAGGTCCAGGTAAAATAAATAAAAGCTACTATCACTCAAACATCACATATTTTGTGTCCTTACAAGTAGTAAGCACCATGTCAAAGTGCAGAGGTCACTGATAAAATGCTCCAACATAAGTAACATAGAGAAGTTATGGGGGATGATATTTCACAATGCCCCTTTAAAGCTATATTCTTTCTGCAGAGAGTCACTTTGCCTATTAAACATGTAAGGATAATTCTTACTTCCAAAGGAATGGTATTCTCTCCCATTTTTCTAAATACCTTAAAGCTTTCACTTTCCCATTTTTGATAGAAGCATTAGTACAAGATGCTTTGCTTTCTTCTTAACTTTGCAAGAAGTGCACATGCGATGCAGCTGACAGCTTCTTTGTCTGAGAAACATGAGAGGTGAGATGATGGCAAACTGGAGAGTAAATGGCCCATCTAAAGAGAACCATGCCTCAGCCAATTGTTGCTATGCAACAAGATTGAGAGCCAGTGTTGATAGTGTGTCTGATTCCATGTGAAGCCATAAATCCATATCTTATGCAAATTTTTCTACTTTTAAACATGAACAACTAATTTAAAAAGGTGTAAATACTGTAGGTCAGATTGTCTTCAGCTTGCTGATTTGCAATCTCTGGAATAGACCATGCTCTAGATAGACTCTGAGATTTTGAGTCAGAATGTGTGTGTGTTCGTCTTACCTTTACAATTTATGAAACAGTAAACACTCCGGAAAGCCGTTTTATTTTACTAATTTAAAATGTTGTTATGAGAATGTCTTCATCGAGTTGTTGATTTTTCTTAAGATTTTGTATAAAAAATTTTCAGGCACAAACAAAAGTTTGAAGGGATGTACTACAAACACACCACCTAGATTCCACTATTAACATGTTACTGCACTTGCTCTGCAGGTTACCGGTCCATCTGTCAGTCATCAGTCCATCTTTTGGGTCAGTTTCAAAGCAGTTGCAGACATCATTATGCCTCCTCCATTGTCTTGCTCTGAGGAATAAATGGAATGAAGCTCAGAAAGTGTCTGGCACATGGATAAACATCAGAGGCACAATAGCTCCCATCTCTCCATCTGTGTTTACTCTGTATGGCTTGAATGTTATCGGACCCACTAAAAGTGTGTGCTTCATACTTGGGAAGACGGGGGTTTCTACAATAACTTTTTCATTAAAATCCTGTTGACTCTTCTCTTCAAGTGTGTTCAGATCCTGGACTTCTGGTTCTAGCCATGATAGGGTATCCTCATTCTTCCCTAATCCTTCCTCTTACTTAAAAAATTTTAGATATACTAAAACAAGAAAACATAGGAAGACTGATAGTTGGAAAGAAGAAGGCAGACTGGCTTGGTGAGGAATGACACTGCAATGAGTTGTCTGGGTTTTCTTTCTGTTTTTTCTTTTGTCCTGGGTGGAGCCCTGGAGATGCCAACCTCCTGGATCCGCCAGCAGGCACAGACTGAACAAGAAGCCTCAAGAAAAGCCTGTTCCTATAGCCAAAGGCCTGGGGAAAGGGTGGGCTAATAGAACGGGGAACCTTTGATAATAGTTGCCTTACTTGAGCCAAACACCGAAGGGACAACTACCCCCCGACTCTCACTATGCCAGTGGACTATACAATAGCTAGACTTCTAGCCTCTTCAGGGTCAACTGGGACAGGCAATTATGAAATGGCCTCTACTTCCTCCACTGGGCTGGTGTCAGTGGGCCAAACAGAGCTGGACTTCCATCCCCATCAGGCAGCAAAGAGGCAGAACCAGGTGTATGAGGATGTTCCTGGATGGGATTAACATTTGAATTAGTATGTGGAGTCAAGCAGATTGCCCTTTCTAATTTGCATGACCCCGGCCAACCCACTGAGGGCCTGAGTAGAATAAAAAGCATAGTAAGAAAAACTTTCTCTTTCTGACTGTCGTTGAGCTGGGACATTGGTCTTCTCCTGACTTTAGACTCGTACTTGAACTGAAACGTCCATCATCAACTTCCAGGGGTTCCAGGTGGCCAAGTGTAGATCCTGGGACTCCCCAGCATCCATGACTGCATGAGCCAGTTCCTTATAATGAAATTCCTTTCATTTCTCCTGTTGGTCCTGTTTCTCTGGAAAACCCTAACTGATGCAGTCCTGGTAACCACAAGAAACTGGATTCTGCCTACAGCCTGAATGATGTGGAAGTGGATTTCCCCCTAGAGCTTCCCAATAAAGCTTGGTCTGGCTGACACATTGATTTTAGTCTTGTGAAATTCTAGGCAGATGACTTAGACTAGCCCATCCAGATTTCTGACCAACAGAACTGGAGATAATTGGTGGTGTTTTAAACTGCTTAGTTTATGGTGATTGTTACTCCCTAATAGAAAACACATACACGGACTTCTTGTCTTCTACCATTCTCCATCCTTTATTCACTCTGTTTAGCCACACCGGCCTCCTCGCTCTTCCTTGACACAAGGCCCTCCCACGTCAGGGTCTCTGCACTGGCTGTTCCTGTGGGCTGAATGCTCTCCCTGTAGATACCCATGACTAGTCTCCTCGCCTCTTCAGTCTTTCCTCAAATACCACTTTCTCCATGAATCCTAGCCAGGCCCACCCTGCCACAGCCTGTCCTTCTTACAACTGCTCTGCTTTTACTTTTTCTCCAAAACATTGTCTTCTAACTTAAAATATAACCAACTTATTTACTGTACCTATTGCTTATTAGTGTTATACCTCAATTAGAATGTAAGCCCAGAAGGGCAGGGATATTTGTTTTGCTTACAAACATGCTGGCATAGTAGATGTTACAAAGTGTTTGTAGAATAACATGAATTACCTCTATGTCAAGTTACAGCATATCGTCACATAACAAGCTGTGATGTGCAGTGTACACCCTAACTCATAATAAGGCTCAATATAGATGCAATGCATCTCTTTGTGCATGGAAATGTGATAGCAAATCACAGACTGTTTTTGTAGTCATTAGTATAAAAATATATTGGATGGTTCTTTGTCATCCTTACATCATTAAGAGCAGGAAAATAAAAGAGGAACTTGAATTAGTAGAATGGAGATATTTGAAAGAGGAGGTGGGTGATACAAAAGGCACATTGGTCGAACTAAGGCTTTAAGAGTATATTCCTGAAAACTGCTGATATAGAAAATAGAACTGGATGCCTTCTATGATCCCTTACGACCCTATATTCCATAATTCTCTGGCCTCTTCAGTCTCAGTGAACTGCTGGCTCAAGATTTGATCTCTCATCTTTTTTTTTTTAAATCCTTACCCGAGGATATTTTTCCATTTTTGTTCAGATTGAGTGGGAGGGAGAGAGAGAGAAACATCGATATGAGAGAGACGCTTCGACTGGTTGCCTCATGCACAACCCTGACCGGGGCCAATATGAACCACAACCAAGGTACGTGCCCTTGGCTAGAATCAAACCCATGACTCATTGGATTATGGGCTGATGCTCTAACCACTGAGCAAAACTGGCTAGGGCTGATCTCTCATCTTTTTATGGATGTCCCTCAAATCTCCATTTACAGTCCTCACTAAGGACCCAAATCCCTACCCTTGGTGTCCAACTGCTTCTAACCATCTTTACGTGGATGTTCCACAATTACCTGAAACTGGACCTGTCAATATCATACTCACCCTCATGACCCTGGATTTCACTCCCTCCCTCCTTCTGTAATTCACTTAGATGTTCTTACTCCCCTCATCCTCCAATGCCCGAGTCCTTGTCTGAGCTCAGTGTTTCTCCCTCTAAATTTCCTCTCTCGTGTTGTCCTTTTTACATCGTCACTGCTGTCACCCTTGTTTAGACTGTCACTTCCTGGAACCTGGATTACGTGGTCAACATCCTAGCTCATTTTCCTGCCTCCCACCATATCTTTGTGTCCCTCTCCATCGATCCTATATACAACCATTGCTTAATCTTTCTAAAATGGACTTAGCTATTCTTGGTACATGCGAGTCTTGCAATGAGTCCCCACTGCCTACAGAGTAAATTTTAATTAGCTCTGTAAGATCTTTCCTGTCTGGTCTGTTCAATCTAGTTTCTTGCCCAATTTTCACCCTCTTTTTGGGTACAACCATCCTACTGAGTACTATTTGGTGCTCAATACAAGAACAGATGTTTTAAACAAAGGCAAAGTGGCAGTAAGGCTAGTTTAAGAAAATGTGGGGGAATTAAGAAATGGCTTTGCATGGTATTTTGGCACATGTACAGTGAGGAATTCAGCACCTTCCTGATAGTAGCATCTTTCTTGATGTGCGGATCTCTCTTACTTGGGGGAGCCATTTTCACAGGTAGTGAATTGCTGGTATCATATAAAAGCAAGTAAAAGCAGTCAAAATCGTGATTGGGTCACCCTGTGAGCTGTGTTCTCTGCTTGTTTCTGCAGGGAGCCCCGCAAGGTGGTCCTGCACAAAGGCTCCACTGGCCTGGGCTTCAACATCGTGGGCGGGGAAGACGGAGAAGGTATTTTCGTATCCTTCATTCTGGCCGGTGGACCAGCAGACCTGAGTGGGGAGCTCCAGAGAGGAGACCAGATCCTATCCGTGAGTATTTCTCCTTAATCTTCATTCCCACCATTTGAAAAAACAAATTTTACTTTCAGCTATGACTCCAAAATCATCTTAATTACAAAAAAAATAAATGAGAGCATTATGTCTTTAGGTGCATGTTGCAGTTTAAATGCTATTCAGATGCTTGGTATTTTAGACTTTCTTAGACTCAGGTAAAGGTGCTAGTGTTTTTATTCAGGTTTTCTGAGAATGTGTGCATCTAATCGAACCTTGAGAAACACACCTCTTTAAGGTAGGTTACTTGTTTTTTACTGCAAATTTTCTTTTCCCCAAATCCAGGATTTTATTCTAAAAACTGCACCTTTACGTGTATAGTCTTTGCATACAACCATGTAAGAAAATGCATGACATAATGCTGTACACAATTTGATGACATTGGTAAGTGATAGCAGCATCACCATTTTACCTAAGTGCAAAAATTACCAACAAGTTGTTGAGCAGTTATGATTTACCAAGAATTTTCTAAGAGTAATTTTCAATTCTCACAATCACCGTGAAGGTATTTCCCCGTGTTCAGAAGAAGAAACTAAAGTTCAGAGAAGTTAAATAACTTGTCAAAGTTTACATGACTTGAGAGAGACAGAGCTGGGGTTTCAATATTCAGTCCTAATATCCTCCACTTCTTCCTTCTCTTCTCCTCTTCCGTCTATTCTTTTCTCTCTCTTTCCTTTCTTCTCCACTTCCTTTCTTTTATTCAAATATTCATTGACTGCTTCTTTCCACTGTATTAAGTTATCTCCCTGGTATAAACTTTACGATAAGTAGTTAAATCCATTATGAGCGTTCATGTCTATACTGAAATTTGGTAATCACGCAGATAATAACAGGGAATTACATAAGGAGTCTGGTTCTTATGACTGAGATTATGGTTCATAACTCAGTGAAGCACTTAGTTTGTGGTTTTTATTGTGTACTTAGAGAAATGAGACTTTGTTTTGTAGCTATGGTTTATAGCTAGAATTTTCCAAGTAACTTTATCTTTGTTAGCCATCATTCCATCCCCCACAAACACACACGCAATTTACCTATATAATGTAGTCAGTCGACCTGAGTAAAATGTTCAGTGATCTTGCCTTATGTCTTCCTGGGGTGCCCCACACATGCCTCTGCTCACTCGTCAGCTGACAGATACCTGGAAGGACTGAGTATGAGAGGAATAAGAAAAGGCTTCAACCTTGTTCTCCATCCCAGAACTGCACGTCACGTCTTCTACTACTTCCCCCTTTTACTTCTTCTATACTTAAACGATATATAAGATATAACCATAAGGTTTAACATATGCTATTAAACCTTATTGTCTATATTTATTTATGTCTTTCTCTCCTAAGCAAAAGCTCCCTGAAAGCAAATTTTCTGTCTTATGTAATTTTGTATCCTTGACATTTAGCAAAGTGCCTGGCACATACCAGTCTCTGAAAAAATGTTTATTGAGTGAAAAAGTATTGAATAAATACGATGATGCTTTAAAAAGTTACTATAGCCTGAGAGACGGACTCTAAAATTCCACCTAGAGCATACTAACGTACCTCATCTTCCTGGGTCAGATCTGTAGACGGGGATCCACTCTGTCCTTTTATTACAGTTAATGTTTACAACGTCATCGTGTTTTCCCAGACACAAAGCACTCTCTCATGCACTGATTGGGGGGGTCTTAAAAGATAGCTTACTGTTACTCTCACTTTCTACATCAGGGAAAGGGGACTCAGAAAGGCTCAGTGATTTGTTCAAAGCTTCACAGCTACCGAATGTGATGTTGAACTCAAAATCAGGTCTGACCCCAAATCACTGTTTTTACTCCCCACAGCACAATGTCTCTTCAAAACCTGTCAATGGTCTCATTCAGCACCTTCTTAGTACACACTGCTCTGTGTGTACACCACACTCAGGATCACACAGAAAGAGCTAATATTCCCCTGGTACTTTGAGTCAGTCTCTATTATAACTCATTGAACCTTCAAACAGCCCTATGCCTTATTATGCTCACTTTAATGATAAAGAAAACTGAGGCGCAGAGATGATATTAGGCTCCTTAAATCTGTTAAATTGAGAAAACTGCTAAGCCATAGGTGTTAGTCATTTTAACCTCTATGCATGTGGTAGGAGAAGGGATGAGCCAATAATCTCCTTACAGCTCAACCAAGAAAGCTCATAAGTATTTCTACTTTCAAAAGTAGAGGTATCCATTTAAATAGTATTGCCAGGACTACAGAGTAAATAAGGCGACCAATTGGAATTATATAATCTTCTTAGAGATTACAGCTCACAGAAGAAAACAACAATCTCTGAAGTTCAAATATATCCTTTTTTATGTCAGACATTTGCAAGAATGGTTCAGTGATGAAATCGTTACCTGATTTTTTGCAAATGGAAAGAAAGAGGGGACATTTTTCCTTTTTAGCTTGGGACATTTTACTTAAACTGTGGCTAGAAAGTAGCTAGTTTCAAGGCTCAGTACTGGGATTTCATTGGTTAGCACTGCACGAGGAAAGAATAAACAGGCTTGAGAAGCTCAAACATTACAATATGAAAACTGTGAGAATGGAATTTTTAACAGTGGATATGGAGGAAGAATGTTCTGCATCCACAGTTTGCACTGGACATATCAGGACAGCCTCTGCCTTCCTGGAAAACTCAAGAACAAAAGCCAGGAATAGAAACTGAGTTAGATAAAAAGTCAACACATATTACAAGATCATATAAGATTAATTGCAAACAAGTTATACTATCATTAACATAATGTAAATAAGAGAAATAGATTACCCAGGGAGAGTAGGTCTCTGCTCTCAATTGTTCTTTATAGGGAAGAGACTTAAATAATAGAGTCACCTTTCTGAGCAGGAGTATAATGTCCATTCCTATTTTCCAGAATTGTTCTCCCACACAGACTATAGAACCTTCCTAAATTATCTATTTTCCTAATGTCTTAACTATGTGCCAGGGTCTGTACCAGGGCTTGAAATCTCAATGATGCATGAGATAAATACCCTCAAAAAGTTCACAGCCTAAAAGCAGATATATCAATGTATCTAATATGTGTGTGAGTGCACAGGTGTGGATACAGATGCCATATGAGGAAAGAGAGGAGACAAAAAGCCCAGAATAGAGCATGCCATCATATAAATAATCGGCACTGCTATTTCTACTAACAACTGTACCTTAAGAATGTGTCTGATGTCTTTAAAGTATGTCAGATAACCATGTTCAAAGAAGGCTTCTTTGGGTAGCTTCAGCCATTTCTTCTTTGGGACAAGGCTTGGACTAGATCAGCATTTTCCAGTGTGAAAGAGCAGGACTAGGTTGCTATTAAGAGAAAGGGTTCCCTGGTGCCAGGTTTCTTTGCTGAAACTTCTCAAAAACATGTGTTACCGCCCTGGCCGGTTTTGCTCAGCGGTTAGAGCATCGACCTGTGGTCCCGAGAGACCCGGGTTCGGTTCTCACTAAGGGCATGTACCTCGGTTGCAGTTTGTCCCTGGCCCTGATTGGTCGTGCGGGTCCAGCCACTCGATGTGTCCCTTTCACATCGATGTTTTTTTCTCTCTCTCTCTCTGTTCCTCTCTCTCCCTCCCACTCTACCTGAACAAAAAATGGAAAAATGTCCTCAGGTGAGGATAAATCAAACAAACAAAAAAAACGTGTTACCAGTGTGTATTGGGGATCTCCCTAGAGGCAAATAAAGCACACAGTTCCTCCCAAACAGGTTTAACCACCAGACCCTCACATGAGGAGCCCCTCACGGGACACCAGCAATGAGAAATGCTGGAGCAGATATTTTTAATGTTCCCCTGACTGCTTTGCTGCAAGGTAGTCATTATACCTGCCTATAATGTCAAGTAGCTTTTTACTATGGTGCCATCTAGTGTTCATCCATGGTCTAAACACCTAGCGTGGCCACCAGAAAGGTGGAGATTCTAAACCCCGCTGTAGAGATTTATCCTCCAGTCCCCCACCCCACCAGAGCTGGGGAACACAAGTAATTAGGATACTGAAAGATAAAGAAATCATCACCTGAGGCTACATTTTATACACATTTGGTGAGGGATCTTTTCTGTCTAAATCCTCCCTTCCGTATTCTGTTCCTCGGGGATTTGTTGCAGAGAGTCTAATCCAATCACTAACCCTTGTTCTAGAGGTATTCGTAAGGGAGAATCAGGCCACTCAGCAGGCAGTCACATTAACTGGTGCAGTTGTCTCCTCGGGCCTTCTTCCTGCAGAGGGGAAGGTAGAAAAGCTTCTGTTACTATTTGTTTCAGTGCTTTGTTGTGGGGGGTAAAATGGGGAGCAGAGCGCATAGAGGTAATAGCCTATAAAGAGATGCTCTCCTGTTTCACCAAGCGATTCTAGTTTATTCATTCCTGGGGAGTCCGAAAAAGATCACCTCGGCTGACCTTGCCCCTCCAAGGCTCCTTCTGGATGGACTGAAAGTATTTAACTGACAGGACTGGGAGTGTGTGCTGTCGGGAGTGAGATGCTACAGCTGTTTGGGTGAACAAACAATAGGTAATGTGATTTTTTAAGTTGAAATTGGAATTACATTGTGGATTTAGAGAGAGTCAAAATGAGTCACAGCTCACCTGTGTTAGATTAATTCTCAGGGTACCGAGCTATCTTCATGTGTAGACCCATGCAGAGGGGAAAGACTATTTGACAGATCCTCACTGTCAAGTTATTTAAATAAAATAAAGTGCTATGTACACTATTCACCCTCCTGGGCTACTGATTAAGTCACCCTTATATTGTGATCTCAACTGACAAATCTAAATCCCATCTAGCATCAGGCCTGAAGTCCCCATGCAGTGGTCCTCGTAAGAGCTTACCAAACCCAGCCCTTCAGGGACCACACCACAGGGGCCATGTCCTTCCCCTCCAGCTCTGCTCCCATCCCCAGGAAGGAGCCTTGCTTTTCTAGTTTTCAGTGCTTGAGGGTTTCTGCTTAAGGGGCTGGTTCTTGGTGTTTCTGAAACCAGCATGCCCCGAGATACCAGAGAGGCTGAGCCTGTGTAGAGAAGAGACAAGTGCATCTGCCCAGCTCTGTGCTGCTCTGTCACCATTTCCAAAAGCACAGCAGCTTCAACTAGAAGCCTCACCTAAGCAGCACCTTTAGCTTCTCTCCACTCATCCTCAACACTTGGCGTCACCAGACTCCAGCAAATCTCCCGCCCTTCCCTAAGGGACAAGCTCTGGTCATCATGGCCAGGAGAGCATTTTTTCTGGTTGAACTCCACCCGCTCCACCTTCCCCACCCCCAGATAAAGGGCAAAAAGACTCTGAGACCAACACTAGCTTAAATGCAGCAGTGCATATTTGCAAACTGGGATGGTCAACATCTGTATCCAGATTAAGGCTGATTTCACAGCTTCCCCCTAGAAAATGGGTAGACCTGTTCTTCCTCTCCAGCTTCGTCACCAAGGGCCTGTCATAGTTTTGCTCAAAGAAACAGTATTTGCTGAAGGGAATACTAAACATCGTTAGTTTGAAAGACATTGAATAACGTGCATTTTTTTTGTGTGTGTGCATTCCCACCCTGCTGCCCTGCTCCTTCTCATCAAGATTTGAAATGTTTCGGGGTTCTGTATCAGCCAGGGCACCCAATTAAACAACTTTGATGGGAAATCTCACCGAGTGGAGTTGATGATGTTTTTGAAAAGACGGAGACTTTTTACCCTAACTGTGATCCACACCCATGTGCCTGTTCCAGGCATTGCTCTCTCTCTGGAACCCACTCTCCATATTCACTGACCCCTCCTTCTCGGGCTTCTGCCTCTCAGTTGTGGAGGCCCTGAGGTTTACCACCTTATGGGACTTGTCTTCCTGACCAGTGCAGAGCCCACTGCTCCCTTGCTCAGGGATCACCTCAGATAAAAACAGTGTGGCCAGTGAAGAGGCTCCGGGGCAGGGACCTTTCCTCGGTGTCGGCTTCAGGCCGCACCATCCTGGCTGACTCCTGGCCCACCTGCCGGAATTTGGGGACTCAGTAGGTCCTGGCTATGCCCTGTGAGTCCTCTATTCCTGTTTCTTGCCCAAGATGTATAAACATCTCCATCACGCACCAACGTCCAGCCTTGGGGAAGAGCTTTTTTAAGGAGCATTTCCCAGATCTGGTATTATACAGAACACATTTGTGGAAATCCTACTTGGAGAATAGCTGGAACTGGTGTCATCCAACTAAATTTCAGACTTTTTAATGCTCCTTTTATTTTTACTTATTTTTTTTTCTTTATTGCTTTTTAGAGAGAGGGAGGGAGAAGGAGAGAGAGATAGAAATATCAATGAGAGAACATTGATTGGCTGCCTCCTGCGTGCCCCCCACTGGGGATCGGGCCCACAACCTGGGCATGTGCCCTGACCGGGAATAGAACTAGCGACCTCTTGGTGCCTGGGCTGACGCTCAACCACGGAACTACACTGGCCGGGCTGAATGCTCCTTTTAAAAAGCATATCTGATCATGTCATTTCTCACCCTATCTTAAAACTTTTTAATGGCTTTCTGTTCTTAAAATAAAGTCCAAAATTCTTGACAAAGCCTCCAAGGTTTGGTCATGTTCGGCCCGTGCTTGGCCTCCTGCACACCGACAACTTCCCTACTCTCGCTTATTCCCAGCCACTCTGGCTCTTGCTCCAGTCAGGGGAGCTATTCAAAAGATCTAAAAATTTGGCACACGCAGTTTAGCACCAGCCTATACAATGAGTGGCCATAGTACTGCAGCTGCAGAATTATGGGAGGTGGGTTTTTCCAGGCAGCTGGTGTTGTGGGTCACTCAGGAGGGCTCAGGACAACAGTTATTTACTGACAAACCATATGGACCTCTTTCACTTTTTAAACAAAAGAAACAGCATGATGTATGTGAATTCTCACCCCATGCCTGTGCACGTACTGAATTCCTCTGCAAAGGAACTTAGAATGAAGAAGGGCCTTCTGTTACCTAGAAGGAACCTGGGAACTCATGGGTGATCCAGGTTCCCATAGGAAGCATCCTCATGCATGACTTGGACTGTGTAACACACATCAGATAAGTAGACTCTGAAGGCATAGCAGGAAACCAGAATTAGCATTGCTGTTTTCCAGTTTCTTTCCTCAATTACTGCTTACTCAATGTGTCACCAACACACAATGCATCACAACTTGTAGAGATGCAACAAAAATAGTACTTTGGGAAACTGGCCCTTATAGCCGGACCTCTAACAGATAAGCAGAGGGTGACCACTCAGGAACCCAACTTTCAGCAGCCTTCAGAAGGCTGAACTTCAGCTTGGTGGTACTAGCTTGGTGGAGAATGCTGCCAAGCTTTTCTACAACTGGTATTGGTATTTCTACAAATGTGTTCTTTATAATTCCAGATCTGTAAAATGCTGCTTCAAAAAGAGTTCATAATCCAATGAAGGATCTGAGAAGTCCTGCAGCAAATAAAGAAATGCGGTTAAAGCATTTTCTAGCCTTATTTAACTAAATAAATAAACAAACAAAAACATTTTTCTCTGAAATATGAATTACTATCTAATGGAACAAAACTTTTAGAAATTCTGCCTTACACTAATCCCCAGAAAAACTCAGGCAGGTATTTCATTTGGGAGAAGTACTATTTTCACATTCAAGTCTTATTTGCAGAGCTCAGGGGGGGAGCAGGGGAGAGTGCTACCCAAATGCCTAAGACTGAAAAACTACCCTCTTCAGTCTGGAAAGAACCTCGTCAAACAGAAGTGTAACTTCAAGAAGGGGTTAGTGAGCATTAGATAAGGGGTGCTCTTTGCATGCCACATATTACTTATTCATATGACTGGATGCCAAGGTCTACTAGGCACTGAGGATGCAACATGAAAAAAATAGTTGTCCTTAGTGACTAGATAGCCTCAAGGCAAAAGACAAAGCCATCAAAAGGGTATTTTCAATATAGCATGGGAAGTGTTAATGATAAGTTCTGGGGTCCATGTGGTCACTAAAGAAGCTCTCCTTAGACCAGCCTGGGAATGTGGGAAGGCTTTGGGAAACTTCCCAACAAAGAGGGCCCCGAGGAAGCAAGGACAGTGGAGAATTAGGAATAAAATGTCCAATATTTCTTGAGTATGAACTTAGCACTAAGTATTGTGCTGGATACCACACTATCATTTTATTGAATCCTGACAACAACCTTGTTGGATTGGAGGCTCAGAGAAATTCAGTGATTTGCCCAAGATCACACACAGAATCATCAATGACAGTGGTATGTAAAGCACCATTGTTTCGGATTTTAAAGTAATTCTTTTCTGCGGTTCCAGCCTGAAGAAAGAACATTGAATTTGACAGTTTGCTTATGTCTGAAGCTGTCTGCACTGTAAGTTCAGGTAGTGAGGAAAACGTAAGTCCCTGGAGTAATGGAGTATTTACACAGAGACACGTGAGCCACCACAGGAAGCCACTGCACATGTAGGCACTAAGATTGAGGTCATGAGAAGCAACATCAAGAACCACCAAAGCTGCTCTTGAGGACAATGACTGTGTCTCATTCATCTCTGCATCCCATTGATTAACACAGAACCCAGCGACTAAGCAAATGTTGAATGAATGAATGAATGAATGAATGAATGAGAGACATCCTTGCCTTCTTCTCTGAAGGCAGCTAAGAATCTTAGGGCCTCTGTTAGTTTTATTCACCTGGACCCCTGGCCCAAAGGGCCCCTTCTGTCCTGAAGATTCAGAATATCTTAGAGCTCTTATCTCTCTCTGACCAATGGAATATATTTTCCAAATCAGACAGATTCTTTTCTATTGACTTATAGGAATTCTCATAGATCAAGGAAATATTTTCTTAAATATCCTGCTGCATACTATATGCTAGATACATGATGTTGGTTTAAAATCTCTTTATAGCATATACTCTCCTTCCAGAAAGATGTCTAGGTGATTGAGTTCCTACACAAGCCTCAAAGGATAACACTTGACTGCACATTGTTAGAGCTTGGAGTTGAGGCCGCTGGTGGCCGGTGGACTCACAAGTGTAGGTAGTGTGCTACATGAGGGGCAAGAGTTTTCGCTAACACCACAAGGGTCTCTGGCCCAATGAGTGGAGTTTGATAGTAATTCTTGCTACAAGTGTGAACATTACAGCCAATAATTGTGCATATGTAACAAGCTTAAATATGTTTATAGAAGATGGACCATTAGTATAAATGGTAATATGTTGTTCCCTAGCCCTACACTTGTATTTGCCTACTATGCATAAAATTAATATTTGCTCTAGTGAAGTGATTTGAACACTAACCTTGTACACGTTGTTAAGAGGCTTAGATCGGTATGCACACTTATTAAACCGTACAAAAGTACATATTAAAGCTTTTGCTCTATGTTCTCTACTGTTTCACTGGAAAGTTTTAATAGAATTGTATAAGAAGGAAAACTGAAATGGTGTTAATCTGAAAATTAATGATTCTTCTGTAAGCACTGTAGTTCAAAAGAGAGTAGCAATTAGGATGATCATTTTGTTTAAAATAGAAGGCTGCTTCTTGTTTTCAAGTATTTTAAATGTCTTTATTGAAAAATAAAGGAATAGTGATAGATTTAAAAAAATAAAATAAAACAAAAAAAAAAAAAAAGGATAACACTTGATCCTGAGCCTTCTCCCCTCAGTCACTGAAAATGAGTGATGACAGCTGACCCCTGATGAAGGGGGAACACTGAAGAGAGATCCCAAGTTGTGAGGAAGGAGTGGTCCTCAATCAAAAGTAGACTGACTTTTAGTTCCAATTTGGTTTTGCTTGAGACTAACTTATTTTGCTGATTCCTCACAACCCTTACATTTGCATCATCATTTCTATGTACAAAGTCCCTTTCCAATGACCTTATCCCATTTGATCCTCACAGCATCCCCTCAGGACAGCAGGAAAATGATCCCTTGGCCATTTGTATAGGGTAGGAAACAAAAGAGTTCACTGATTCTTTTCTAACTCAGAGCCACTTAGACGTCAGCATAGGCCTCTTCTGTCACCACCCGCTGCCTTGCCTGTCATGCTAACTACTTTAGGGGTGTGCCTGATGGGGGCTTGGACCGCGAATTCACTTCCTGAGCTCTGGACTGCAGACAACAGACCGCAGCTGCGGGTCACTTCAGCGGGGAAGGCATCACTGGAGAAATAAGGATAGCTCACTGGATCTTTAGGAAGGCTGGGAAAGCAGGCTCGCTCGGACGCCAGGAGGAAGTTCTGTGGAAGGAGAGTCTGCTGAGGATGCTGCTCCTGGGCCATCAGCATGAGCCACTGTGGCCAGGCCCCACCTGCTGGAGGGGCTGTGAAAACACCTCTCTCCACACCCTTGACTCCTGAGGGGGAGAACTCCAAGTTCCCAGCAGGAACATCTGCTTGGCCTGTCCATGCTCTGGGTACCGAGGGATGGAGAGAAGGAAACCCTGTTTCCACCCCCACAGCTTCGCTAAGGGGGGATAAAGCTGTGCCTCCGTCCTATCTCAAAGCGACCCCACATACGAAGAGTGTCTGGACACTGAGCAGTAAAGGACAGATGTCTACTAGAGATCATTTGGCTCGTTGAGTTCTATTTGAGGAATAGGTTAGATCTAAAATCTTGAGAATCATAATTGCTTCTTAAACAATAGAAAGTATTTGTGAGGAGTGGCCTCCACTGGGAGGGGCCTAGGCCCTCATCTGGGCAGCTGGCAGTGTGTCCCTAACCCTGCCTGCCTCAGTTCACCAGCGAGAGACACAGGCAAGGATGGGGTATCAACTTTGCCATGTCTGTGGACCATGAAGACTTCATTTCGAATGCTGATGACTTTCCATTTCAAGCACTTTGGGCCCCAAAGTAATTAAAAATGTCTTTCTGAGATACAGGGATTTACAAACCAATGTACCTTGTCTTGAAAAATCTGTGTAGCTCTATTGAACAGCTGCAGACGCTCCCTAACAAATGATTAAAGGGATCATTGGCTCTTTTCAGGTGAGTCCACATTCTGGTCTTTAAAAGAGATGAGGAGCAGGTCAAATGGGGCATGGTCGCCAACCTGTTATTTTTCACTTTTGAGGGGAAAGAAAAAATAGAGAAAATACCTAAGCCAAATACATGTAGAAAATGTATTGTCCTTCCCTGGATGTGACACTGCACAGGGCTTAGAGATCTAGTGGCAAAGACGATAGGTACCACCCTTACCCTCGGAGCGTTCTGAATGCACACAGTCTGGGGGGGGGTGCCAGCAGGGTGATCTGACCCAGACTGGGACCAAAAAGATATTTCTGAATAAGTGGTGTCTTACCTGGGGCTGAAAAGCTGTATACAGGCCCGGCAGGGGGCAGGGCGGGGGTGAGGGGGAGCAGGAGATCAACATGTCTGGTGGCCCAGAAAACAGGGAGAGTACACCATGAGAAGGGCAATGAGGATGTGGAGAGTGAGAGGGAATTTTGGGAGAAGGGAGATTAGTGAGGGAGGAGGCTCATCCTTCCAGGAGAATGAGGATGCAAAGGCAGCAGGACCTTGTGGGAAGGTTTGAAGCGGAGTGGAGGTCGCAGTCCTCAATTCCAACATGGGAGGGGGCTTCCCCACACTGACAAGCAATTTTCCAGCTCCAGCTGGGTCTCCTACAATTGAACTCAAACCTCACACTGTCTAGCCGGAGACAGCGTCAGATCCCACAGGGTAAGGGCTCAGTCCTACAAGTCTGCGCACCCCACCCCTGGGCCACATCAGATGCCGGTCTCATGTCCCCATTATCACCAGTGCTTCTGATCCGCCCTCTATAGACTGGAGCAGCCCTGTCTTTGGGATTACAGAATTCAGAAAAATATTTTACTTATTAGATCACCGGTTTATTATAAAAGGATATAACTCAGAAATAGCCGGATAGAAGAGACGCGAAGGACAAGGTATGAGGAAGAGGCACAGAGACTCCATGTCCTCTCTAGGCACACTTGCTCCACCCAGAAACTCCTCACACCCTGTCCTTTGGGGTTTTATGGAGGCTTCATTACACAGACACAACTGATTAAACCATTGGCCATAGGTAGCTGATTCGGTCTCCAGCCTCTCTCCTCTCCCAGGAGGTCTGAGGGTTGGAACTTTTAGTCCCAATCCTCCAAGTGCATGGTTGGTTTTCCTGGCAACCAGCCCTTATCCTTAGGTACAGTCTAAATGTTACATCACCAACATAACTAAAGACACCTCATCACTTAGGAAATGTCAAGGGTTTTAGGAGTTCTGTGTCAGAAATGGGGATGAAGATCAAATATTTATTTCTTATTGTAAAACACAACATCAAACTAGGGAATTATGAGGCTTACTTGGAAACTGGGGGAAAAAAAAACAAAAAACAGTAACTTTGAAATCAGGCAGACCTAAGGTCCAGTCCTAGCTTTACCTGTTGCTAACTGTGTGGTCTTGGTCAAGTTGTTTAAACTTTCTGAGTCTCAGAATTTTGCCCTGTGAGATCATAGAAATCAGAGGACATACCACATTGGAAATACACAATAAATATCTCTTCCCCCTTCCCCCTCCCACACTAAATTCAGTCAATTTGTCCAGAATTGATCACAAGGGGCTTGCTGAATTACTACTCCTGGGGCTTACTTAGGTCATGTAAAATCCAGGAGAGATTCCCAGGAAAATTGGTGGTGGTTGAATTTTGAAGCCGACTAGGAATTGTCATTTGAAGAGAACAACAGTCTTGTTCCAATTACAAGCAAGCTTGGCTTTGGTTGTGCTGAGTTTCCGCTGCTTTGTCCACACTACATTCTTCCTACCCAACGGGCCCCGCCTAATTAAGGTTTCCTTATAATAATTTTCCATGTCAAACGGCTCTAAAGGCAAAATGGAGAAACTTCTATTTATATTTCTGCCAATTAAAATGCATTTATGGCCCTGGCCAGTTTGGCTCAGCAGTTAGAGCATCAGCCTGCGGACCACAGAGTCCTGGGTTTGGTTCCCACTAAGGGCACCTACCTCAGTTGCAGTTTGTCCCTGGCCCTGGTTGAGGTCATGCAGGTGGCAACCAGTTGATGTGTCTCTTTCACATCCATGTGTTTCTCTCTTCCTCCCTCTCTCCCTCCCATTCTATCTAAAGATAAATGCAAATATATCCTCAGGGGAGGATTATTAATTAATTAATTAATTAATTAAAATGCATTTGTGAATGGCCTTCTGTGGGCCTAGCATTATGCAGAACACACACGAGCATGTATACACGCACACTCATGCCCACATCCTCACTCCACACAGTTCATGAAGAGCAGTGAAGTTAAAGAATGCATCCAAAGTGATAAATTAAATGGAGACCTGGATATTTAGCTGCCCTTTTCTTTCTTTCTTTCTTTCTTTCTTTCTTTCTTTCTTTCTTTCTTTCTTTCTTTCTTTCTTTCTTCTTCCTTCCTTCCTTCCTTCCTTCCTTCCTTCTTCCTTCCTTCCTTCCTTCCTTCCTTCCCTCCCTCCCTCCCTCCCTCCCTCCCTCCCTCCCTCCCTCCCTCCCTCCCTCCTTTCCTTTCCTTCCTTCCTTCCTTCCTTCCTTCCTTCCTTCCTTCCTTCCTTCCGACCCAAGGATATTTTTCTATTTCTCATCAGATAGAGTGGGAGGGAGAGAGAGAGAAGGAGGAAGAGAACCATTGATGTGAGAGGGACACATTGACTGCTTGCCTCCCACACAACCCGACCACAGCGGGGTCGAACCGCAACCGAGGTATATGCCCTTAACCAGAATCAAACCCACGACTCATTGGTCCATGGGACAACGCTCTAACTGCTGAAACAAACCGACCAGGGCTAGCTGCCCTTTTCTTATACATTTTTCTAGTTTTTTCATATACTGTGATATGAGCCTACTATAATAAATGAGCCTAGTACCATAACTATCACATTGCAACTGAGGTTATTTCCTGCTAGTCCACAAGATGGCAGTAAAGGATTTTGCACAGACTGTGTATACCAGTGGTGTCTGGTCCCTGTTGATTGTATTTGACCACAGTGTTAAAATGCTAGACCTCAAAATATAATTCAAGGAATGAAAAGTAAATTCAAATCTGGAAGTAGAATTTGTGACTTTGTTACTTTCTCTAACAAAGCCATAGAACCAGCCAACAGACCTAAGAGCCAGGATGGCTTGAGA